ACCTCAAGTGTTAACTGATTCGAAATATAAAACAATCCACTATAAAATATGAATTCTAATGATAAATAAGATGTGTTCAAAAACGATGTGAAAGTTGTCGATCTTCTCACCGTATAACTGACAGTTACTTAGAACCCTCCTGATATTAATATTAATGCATTAAGTAATGTCATTTTCCTACAGTTTTATCAGAATTACATAAGATCCTTTGATAGCTGATGCCAAATGTGAAATAATCCAAGAGAGCAACTGAATACTAATGATAAATATGATGTGATCAAAAGCGATGTAAAAGTTATCGAACTTTTCGCCGTATAACCGACAGTTATTTAGAACCCTCCCGATATTAATATTAATGCATTAAGTAATAAACCTACCCCGTTAGCTTGTTCGCGATCCATATGAATTCAGGACCACAGTTCTGTTTCCTTAGGCCAAGAGTGTATCTTATTTTGCCGAAAATTCTTTATTTCGGCATATTAGGACATTTGCGTACATAATTCTCCACGTCTCGGGTGTGTCTCGGCCACTACGCTTCCAGTTTTAACTGTTTTGTGTAGCGGTAATCCCACAATGCACATCATCATGTACACCTATAATTTCTTCTTTTGTACATTTTTTCCTTTGGTTTGACTAAATCACTGCTACAAATTGGACCATTTTCTATTGATAATTTTTGTCTGGTTTCTTTGTATGATCTTTCTGCTTTTGAACAATTACCCCACTTATTGTACCTTATTCTTGATAAAATTCGACTTAAGACTGGAACTTGCAAAATTTCCATAATCATGGACAACACATTGTAACGTCAATACATATTCATGGGCAACACATCCATTTCCACCCAATGCAAAAATTCATCCTCAGTTATTTTTATGTTTTTTTTTTCTTTTTGTTCCTTTTCAATTTTTAATCGGGACAATGCGTCTACGTGTGGTATCGTCTTTGCCTTCATGTATTCTATATCATAATCAAAAGCCATCAACTTCATAGCCTATCTTAATATTCTGGATGATGTAACTTTTGGCAATTCCTTCCTAGGATGGAATATAAATTCTAAGATCGATTGTCTTGATCTGGTCATATTCCATACAACCACAAGTGCTTCCTTTTCAATATTAGAGTAGTTCAATTCAGCTGATGTCAATGTCCTAGAAAGATGCATCACCGGGTGTCCTTCCTGGGACAAAATTCTTTGTTGTACCATCCATTTACACAAGTCTGTTAGGTAGGTTACTCGATGTTTCCCTCAGTCCATCTTGCCTTTAATATGCCCTATGAATATCAAATTCTCTAAGTCCTCTTTCCTTATTATTTCTCCCTCAAATTTCAACTATCTCTTTCTGATTCTAAGTATAAGCATCCTATTTGTTTCCATTCTCCTTAAAACTTCCTTGCTGTTCGTATGCTCCGCCCATGTTATTCTCAGTATTCTTCTGTAGAACCAGATGTATGTTGCTTCTAGTCTCCTCTTCATCTCTAAGGAATTTTTCAGATTTCACTGCCATATGGGAGGATAGGGTTAGGGTTAAGGATAGTAGATGTTCATTTTTTTTTTTTTTTTTTTTTGGTTTTAGTGAAATGTTCTTGTTTCTTAGTACTCTGTTTAGTTTTTGGAAGCTGTTGTAACCTAGAACTAAGGAAGCGGAAGCAACGTTTTATCTCTTTCTCAGACACAGAAGTACCGTGTTGATAATATTGTTTATGAATGAATAAAAGAGCTGGAGTCTCATTTCGGTGGGGAGAAGACTTAAGTCAAGACAGAAGTCACTATTGTTATTGACTTTTGAAGTTATTGAGCGTGGACGTTTTGGACGTGATTGTGACCAGTTTTATTTATTTTTCAGAAACCAACAAAAAAAAACAAAATATTCCTTTTTTGAAATCCATTAAGAATGTTGGGGGGTGCAGAATAAACTAATAAACCTGGGTTAGCATTGAGATGAACCAGAAGGAAATTTTATGTGAGGTTGCGTGAACTTTTCTGCATCCACAAACAAATAAACAATTTCAATATAAACAAGACAAAACATACATTCAATTCAACACCAATAAAAGCATTTATATACAAATACGATAATATATACAGGGTATTTTTAAGGTTGTTAATGTGTTGGTGTGCTCGTGATATATGTAGTTTTATGTATGTTCTTTTTATGTCTTGTGCATTAACATTAGTCTTTTAGGAAATTTTGATACTTTTGATAAGTAAAGTAATTCAGATAGAAGTTTCGTGTGTTCACAGAGTGTTTCTTCGATTTGAGCTTGCGGGTGAGTTAGTGACGATTTAGTTGCGCGTTAGTTTGCGTGTTAATATGCGTGTTAATTTGCGCGGCAAAATTGCAGTTGCAAGCGACGTGGATTATATTAGCATATCTCTGTGCTCGTTTGACTGACTGACTTGGTCAGTTAATATTTTTCCTTTTATAGGTTTTTAGATGTCCAAGTTGGCTCAGATAAGTTTTGGCGCAATTTTATTTCCGCACGTGAAGATTTCGAATTTCGTGTTGTGAGCCAATGAGAATTGCTGATTCGTATAGTAATGTTTCTATTGGTTAAGGTTTATGTGTGTAGGTGTATGGAATAGAATGTTCTTGTTGCTAGGGGTGATAAAGTAAATGGACGAGACTACATTCACCTCTCCCCAGATTAATGGTCATGCCAAATGGGCATTAATATGTGATATAAGTGCGAAATCTTGCTGGCCAATGAACATGTCTGCCTGACTTTGTACGGGTAGACTGAGTAGATGGAGACATGTCCGTCGCAGACGTTTGTGTGTCTGGTTGCGTAGTAGACGTTTGTGTGTTTGGTTGTTCTGGTACTGTTGGATTTTGCGTTGTTGGAGTGACGTCATCACACTGTATGTATGCTGGCTTTAGTCTGTCGATGCTGACAGTATTTTGCTTACCAGCAATATCTATTACGAAATACTTAGGTGTTCTGGAGATGACTAAATGAGGACCAGTATAGTTTGGCGTTAGCGGTTTTCGAACTGCGTCACGACGCAAGAAAACATAATCCGAAGAATGCAAGTTCGTCGGTACATAATACGGTTTTTTGTAAGCCCTCGTGGGCGTATAATCTCAGTCATTTTTCTCTTCAAGTCGGACACAAAATGACTGGAAGGGACAGTGTCTGTAACATTATGAAAGATTTGTCCTAGAAGAGTTACTGGTTTTCCGAACACCAATTCCGCGCTAGTGCATTTCAGATCTAATTTGACTGTGTTTCTTAGCGCAAGCATCACAAATGGTAGCTTATCTACCCAGGTACGAGCACTGGTAGATGCTGTTAATGCGTACTTGAGCTGTCGATGGAATCGTTCTACCAATCCGTTATTGCAGGGGTGATATGCCGTGGTAGAAATGTGTTTAATTCCGAGCAAATTGACGAATTCCGTGAATAACGTCGACTGAAATTGTGGGCCTCTGTCGGTTGTGATTACCGCAGGGCACCCGAATATAGAAATCCAATTTTGAAAGATAGCGTTGACCACTGCTTCTGCTGTTGTCGTCGATAGCGGTACGGTCACGGGCCATCGCGTGAAGCGATCTACGATAGTCAAAATATATTCGTATCCATTGACTTGGTCAAGCGGACCCATCAGGTCGACGTGAATATGAGTAAAACGACCGTCAGGGGCCGTAAAGGTTGATGGTGGTGCTTTCGTGTGTTAGCTTATCTTCGTTGCCTGGCAACGCTGGCACGTGCGGGACCACTGTTTTACGTCGGAAGCCATACCGGACCAGACGAATCTGTCAGATATGGTCCGCAGCGTAGCCTTCGCTCCAGGGTGAGCTGGTGAATGAAAATGATTGAAAACTGTTTTTCTCATTGACGGTGGCAGGTAAGGTCGAGGGTTGCCTGTCGAAACGTCGCAATAAACAAGTTTGTCGGTGAACGGAAGTGGACGTTTTTCCAGCTTTAGAGAAGTATCCGCTTGAACAGAAAGAAATGTCTCGTCGTTCGATTGCTATTCAGCTAGTATGTCGAATTCGAGTGAAGGTGATTGTATCGCACCGAGTGTAGGTCTAGATAATGCATCTGCAACGATGTTATTCTGTCCTTTTACGTATCGAATATAATCCAGGTAGCGAATGTCTCGAGGGTTTAGTTTGTCAGACTTCGCGTGCAGTGCGTAGGTTAACGGCTTATGATCAGTGAGAATAATAAAGTCTCTACCCTCCAGTATGTGTCGATAAGGCCGTATCGCCAAATAAACGGCAAGTAATTCTCTTGAAAATGTGCTATATTTCTTCTGCGCAGAATTCAGTTTGAGTGAGAAAAACGACAAAGGTGTTTCGATGCCATCCGTAACTTGGTGTAACACAGCACCAATTGTATCAGCTGACGCATCTGTAGTTAATGTAAGTTTAGCGTTCTCCAATGAGTTAATAAATGTTAGTTTGGCACAGTTCTGTAGTGCATCCTTTGCTTGTTGGAACGAACGAAGCTCGTCTCGGGATAGTGATATCTGCGAATTTTTTCGTTTACGCAGAGATAATATGTTTGTTCGTGGTAACAGTATTGATGCGCACTTCGGGATAAACTGTCGGTAGTAGTTTATCATGCCAAAAATCTTCTTAACTGATTTAGCGTGGAAGGTGGAGGATAATTCGTTATTGCAGTAATTTTCTGATCAAGGGGAGTCAATCCATGTTGGTCTAAGATATGCCCGAGGAAAGTTAAACTCGGGACTGCGAAAACACATTTATTGATTTTTAAACCATAGTTGTAATCTTTTGAGAACTGCATGTAAATGCTCACGGTGTTCTTCATGCGACTTGCTTGCTATGAGTACGTCGTCTATATAAGCATACGTGTAGGGCATTCCACATAGTACTTCGTCAATTAGCCTTTGCAAAAACTGCGCCGCGTTACGTAGACCAAAGAGCATTCTCGTAAATTCGAAAAGTCCGAAGGGTGTTGTAATAGCTGTTTTCGGAATGTCAGCTTCCTCTATGGGGATTTGATAATATGCTTTTTTTAGATCGAGCTTAGCTTAATTTAGCGCCTTCTAACGAAAGGGCGAAATCTTTAATATGCAGAATTGGGTACTTGTCCGGGAGAGTTTGTGCATTTAGTAATCGGTAATCGCCGCACGGACGCCAACTGGCTGAGTCAGCTTTAGATAACGTATGTAGAGGACTGGCATAAGGACTGGCTGAAGGACGGATTACACCTAATTTGAGCATGTTGTCATATTCGTCGCGAGCTATTTTTAGTTTACTCGGATGGAGCCTGCGAGGTTGAGAATGGACTGGAGGTCCTGTAGTTTTAATACTATGGGTAGCATGGTGCTTTACGGGTTCAATATGGGTTGACAGTGACAGTAGCGATTGGTACTGACACATTATCTTTTCGTAGCCATTGGCTGTAGGTATAACAGTAGTCAGACCGATTGTCGAATACTTAGAAATGAAACCACAACGTTGTAAATTTGTGCTTGTGTCAGTTAAAGTTTGTGACGCCAACTCAACAGATAGTTTGTAATGGGTTAGGAAATCCGCTCCTATTATCGGCATTGCAACATCTGCGATAGTAAAAGTCCACGTAAAGTCACGTCTCAGTCCGATGTCTAATGTTAGTGTTCGCTCGCCATATTCGCCTTTCTATTGGTTAAGGTTTATGTGTGTAGGGGTATCGAATAGAATGTTCTTGTTGTAAAATGCATGTTGCAACTACTATTTCAGACGGCAGTTTTATTTGATTCATGCAGATCCTTCTCATTTCTTTTATTTTTCCTGTTTTGTTTTTTTTATCAATTTTTAATTTAACAATAGCAACCCGACTAACTTTATTTGTGGTTCTTTGTGTTTATTTGAAAATGTAAATACTTTATACAGGTTAAAAAATTAGTGTTGCAACCACTATTTCCAACCTCACTTTTAATTGATACAATCATACAGATCCTCCTCGTTTACTTTATTTGTTGTCCTTTATATTTCCTTATTTGAAAATAGAAACGCATCCTACAGATCGAAAAGTGAATGTCTCAAATACTATTTCAGATAGCATTTTTATCTGATGTCATGCAGATCATTCTCTATTCCCTTTCTCTTATTTTTTCATCTATATTATAATTTAAATATAGCCACCTCGTTAACTTTATTTATGATCCTTTATATGTGCTTATTTGAAAATGGAAATACATTTACACATGTTGAAAAATTTCATGTGGCATTTTATTTGATACAACCATACAGATCCTTCTCTTCACCCTCTTATTTTCCCACGTTTTTTCATCAACATTTTAATTTAAATATAGACACCTCATTTACTTTATTTATTGTCTCTTATATGTGTATATTTCTAAATGGAGACACTTTATACAGGCTGAATAATAAATGTTGCAACTATTATTTCAGACAGTACTTTTATTTGATATTATTATGCAAATCCTTATCTATTACCTCTCTCTTATTTTCTCATGCTTTTTTCATCAATTTTTTATTTAAATATAACCACCTCATTTGCTTTATTTTTTGTTCTCTTATATGTGTTCATTTGAAAATGGAAACACCTTATACAGGTATAATTTGTCGCAACTTCAGACAACGCATTTTTCCTGAAAAAAAAAGGTTTGAAAGTATTTTTTAAAAAATGTCTTAAGGGTTTTTGCCGGAGTGGGCCAGTAAATTTGATTATTGTCTGACAAAATAAACACTGCAGAAGAAAAAACAATGAAACGAGGTGTAACATGAGTCATGAGTTTTGTTATGTACAAAGTCATGCTTAAGTTTGAGAAAAGACATGTCGGAGTTAACTCCTCCTTTCACTCCGTTAACCCTTTCACCAGGGGTCTCTCTTTCCTGGCTATAAATAGCCAATGACCCTTCGCCTCTATCTCTTTTTCCCTTCAGGCCTGTGCATTGACACCTTGAGGTAAACTCTCTTATTCCTAGAGCTATCAACCTCGAAATGTAGTCGCTAACAAGGGATAGCGTGGAAACACGCTAAGCACATATTCACACACGCACGCACACACAGAATATTCACACACGCACGCACATACAGAATATTCACACACACTTCGTCCTTTGTACTGTTTCCATGTATTGTAACTTGTTATTAATATATATTTGTATATACATATATTATCGGCCTTGTTTTGTTTGCTTTCTTTTCCTTCTTCTTTGGACTTAATCAAAGTCCAACCTTTTTATGTAGTTGGGCTCGGCGGGCAGGAGTATCTGAACCTTGCGTTTCTTCTACGTCTGACTTCTATCAACAACAAGTGGCAACCGCCATTCCCACAACAAACCGTAACCGCCACGGCCCTCTACAAATGATAACCTGGACGTGATTTTTCAACTCCTGCTAAAAACACCACAAATGGTGACTTTTCCCGACTTGATTTTTCAACTAAAACACGCAAGACGATATATATGTACAAAAACAAACAATTTCTTATATACACACCTTCACAAAAAAGCCAGATAGGGAAAACATTGAAAAACGCACGCCATACACTAAAACAACAATTACTACTATTCAAGGCGAACCTGAACTCTTCCCCACTGGTCTATATTTGCTTGACCCTTTCTTTCTCTCGGCGACGTTTGACCTAATTTCTCCCAGCACACATGCTTAAGGCTGTACCGAACGAAAAACAACGCCATTTTTCTACCAACCAACACTATCCTCTTCTGGACTGAAACAGATAAAGTGTAAACCCAAACCAATAAAGGCAAACCACTGTTCCATTATATACGATTGGTGATTCCGACATGGAAGCGACACACAAGTTTCATTGGAATGATTCTACAACTCTCTCTGGACGACTCACTGTTCCATTACGATGCGACATCACTGAGGATTTGCATGCACGTAATTCGTCGCTATTAATCTTGCAAATTCCGCTTTCTTCCAACACATGCTACTGGTCATAGCATTTCGCATCTTCTTCCATTCTGAAACTCAAAAATCGCGCACATTCATTTTTCCTACACCACGTGGCGACATCTTCACGCCACCGCTTGCTTCCCATGCTTCAAACCTTCTTTTCGGACGACTCACTGCTTCGAAAAACATTTTCAACGATTACACTCTGACGACAACACAAGCACATTTCGTGAATCACGCATCTCAACCACACTTATGACACATTTTCTTTTCAGCTCACAAGAACAATATTCAGACTTTAACGAACCTTTTTCTTTACATATTAAAAGTTTTCATTTCCTTACAACTTTTAATCTGGTAGGGGGGCATTGTCGGAGTTAACTCCTCCTTTCACTCCGTTAACCCTTTCACCAGGGGTCTCTCTTTCCTGGCTATAAATAGCCAATGACCCTTCGCCTCTATCTCTTTTTCCCTTCAGGCCTGTGCACTGACACCTTGAGGTAAACTCTCTTATTCCTAGAGGATTTTCAGCTATCAACCTCGAAATGTAGTCGCTAACAAGGGATAGCGTGGAAACACGCTAAGCACATATTCACACACGCACGCACACACAGAATATTCACGCACGCACATACAGAATATTCACACACACTTCGTCCTTTGTACTGTTTCCATGTATTGTAACTTGTTATTAATATATATTTGTATATACATATATTATCGGTCTTGTTTTGTTTGCTTTCTTTACCTTCTACTTGGTTATTTCTCTTGTTGTTGTCTTTGTTACATTTGATATTGTAAAAATTGTAGAGGGTCAGTTTTAATTTCTATTTATAACCAATACAAATTGGCTGACCCACTATAGACATGACAGTTACAACCTGAAGTGAAAATATTCATCTATCAATGACATTTATGGAGTGGAGGCAGAGCAAGTTTTGTATAGGATTAATGCATTTAATTGTCAGTAAATTGGTATGAGCCAGGTAGAATTGTGAAAGATTGTTTTTCTATTAGGGACTATCTCTAAAAATGCACGGAATCACTCACTCTACTCTCTGTCTTGTGCTTGGCTTTCAGTTTCACAAGATTGCACAACCACTAATAAGTTTCTTCACAATGAGTAATTTTTTAAGTGTGTACAATAGATTGAGGATGACACAACTTCAATCAATGAAAAGACTAATATCAAAGTGTCTTGGTATGTAACAGTAGCTCCGTTTTTAGAAAAATTATCTTACGAATGCCAAAAAGGAAAAGGATTTTAAAAATTATTTTTTGATTATTAAGAACCCTGAATATTTTTTTTAAATAAATAAATCAAAACAAAAATACAGGCCTAAGAAATTTGATGAACTGACATTTTTTTGGTCAATACATCCTACCCCTAATTAAAGGTGGGGGATAAAATCTAAAGGAATAGATGATGTTAGGATTAGTATAATCTAGTTAAAGTAGGGATACCATAGTTAAATAGACATGAGGTATTGATTGAAGGAACAAACTCTATCCTATTCATACTTCAAGGGATATAATTTGAGGTGAACAAACTGGGGAGAGAACCATAATACTTAAACTTGCTACTTTGATAAATAGTTAATTTGAGGACACATTATGAATGTATCAAAACTCTCCTCAGGGATGCCAAACATGCATTTCAAAAAAAAGGGGAGAATGAATTTCAAAAACTACTCATCAGAATGAAGTAGTTGCATTAAATGTTTTTACTATTTCTGGTTCCATATTCATATTATTACTCTACATGCTCCATGTTCCTGAGTACAGCAACCAGTTCATTGACTCAAAACAAGATTCTGTTTTGACCACCTCATAATTTGTTTTGATATAAGACAAAAACTTCCTGTAGTCAATTGGAGGAGGGTCATTTAACATCAAGGTTTTATTTTTATTTTATTTCCTTCCTTACTAATGACCCATGTACATGATTTGCTGACTTCAATATAATCAGCAGGAAAGTTAATGCTGAACTTAGATTTGGTCTCCTGTCAAACTACAGTTGCTAGCATTAATGATTCCACACAATAACACCAATTCTCTCACTTTCATATGTTTATTTTGTCTTGGAGGCTAAAATCTGTATTTCACAAATACAAAATTCAAAGTCTATATCTATAAGATGTTCAAAGTTCAAATATTTCAGAAAATAATAAATGAAATTGGGTCAATAAAAACTTCCCAAACAGTTCTAAATTTTGTAAGCAATGTTTTATAAATTCGCTATAAATATTATAGAAATTATAGCTTGAAAAAATGTTTATCCAGATTGCTGAAATTGGAACAGATTATGGAAAATTATATTTTCTTTTCCATTATCGGCCTTCAAATACTTCAGGAAAATTCATAGGTTATATGAATTTTAAATCTAGGGAAACAAGCAGTACTGAACTACTATGTAATATCTTCCTATATGTCAGAAATGTTGGAAAATTTCCTCACTGATGAAGAGGAGACTTGTGTTAATTAATCTTACAACACATTTCTTTGTCTATGTTTCTAACTCAATAATGACTTGTGCCCTTGTGGTAGCCTCATCTATAACATCTTCATATCACAGAGAGGAACTTCACTCACTATAACAATCTCTCTCTTTCTTTGTGAAACAAATATAGATAAAAAAAAATGAACAAATGAGCTCAGTAGAGACTTTAATTCTCATAGACTTTTTTTATGCTTGCTTCTTGAAGCACCTTCAAAAGATTTGTATTCATTGAGCCATCCTTTGTGAGTTCAACTGACAGCTGTTCACTACTCTGTATCGATGAGTGTTACTTGCTTTTTTTCAATTATTTCTCAAACAATTGACATTTCCACTTGTAATCTGAGGTCACTAATTCTTTTCATTGTCTTCACTATTTCAAATAAACTTACAGTGGCATTCCCATCATTATAGACAATTTCTGCAATTATTTTAGCCATAAACAATGACATATCACACTCTTCAACAAGTGATAATGTCTCTGCTGTTAATGCAATTTGACCACTCTCTTGATGACATGGATAGGCTGTCATCTTTTCATCAGTAAGAAAAACAATTTGTCCTCTTTGACTACTCCCATGTGGAAGATTAGCATAACTTGGACCAGTACTTGCATTATTTTTTGGGATATGTTTTGTGTACATATATCCTTTCAAGGCAATCTCAAAATGACGAAAAACCCTATTTCATGGTTTAATAATTTCTTTAATTTTCTTTTATAGGACTTTGTGGTAAACAATGTTTAAGAAATTTTCTATTTTTAACAGCAAATAATAATTTCTCAGGATTTCTTCTTGAGCATGCAACATACAATTAGCCATGCATAACTGGAGCTAAATTCCAACATTTTGGAAGTGTTTGGCCTTGTAATTTGTTTATAGTTCTGGCAAACATAGTGTTAATTGGAAACTTGTAAAAGTAAAAAAAAGATATGCAAAAAAACAATATTTCATTTTTCTTATTAAATAAGTATTTTTTATTTTTATCATTAAATTGTTTTTAAAATAGCGGGAGTATTTTGTATTTTCAAAAAGTTAAAAAAAATTTATAGTACTAAGCTACGCACCCTAAAACCAATTGTATTTTGTACTCCCTTTTCTCCCCGAAATTTGGTTTCGATCAATGTATGGCTATTGTGACAGACGTAACGGAAGTCACATAATTTTATAGATAATTCATTCATTATAATAATAATGAATAAGTACTGAAAATTTTGTTTAAATCGAATAATTCCCTGATTTTGGAAAATATTTGAAAACAGGGTGGAGCGATTTTTTGCTTTTTAATTTCGGTAAACAAACGCATCTATTTTGCATACAAATTATAAAGTGTCAAATTAGAAAATACATAACAAAACCTGAAACCACCATGAAAAGAAAAAAAAAATAACTTAGAAAGCCTTCAAAGCAAAGGTAATGGATTACTGGGAAGTAAAGTTCTTAGTGCAGTCATTCCTCTCTCTTTCTCCAATTGAGTCCCAAGTTTGATAAAATAGAAAGTTGAAGAGATTCAAACAACGAATGTAAATGAAAACTTAAATTTTTATACCAGTTATTTTCATTTTATTAATTTTTCTGAAAGAACTCTCACCAATAAATAGTTTTTTCTTTAATTTTTCAAATACACAATTTGTAAATGACTAGTAGTAGTGTAGTGTTATTAATTTAAATAAACTGTCACAATTATTCCTTGTATTTGAAAAATTATAAAAAGTAACTATTTATCGGTGAGAGTTATTTCTTTTAAGAAATAATTTTAAATTTTACTGTAGTGTAGTGTCTAAGTCACTCGTCTACAGTAAAAAAAAAAAGAAAGAAGCTCAACTGTGACTATTTTTTTTTACATTCACTTCAAGTAACCTTTGACAACTGATTTCTGCTTTACCCCTAGGAAATAAATAAATGAATGAATTGAATCACGCGAAAAAAAAAATGCAATTCTTAAGGGAGTAAAAACAAGAATGAGACTAGCTTGAGAGCATTTACGTTTCTTTTCATGAGGTTAAGTTTCCTCAAAATACGAAAATTATCTCCCTAAGAACTCAGAAGAGAAGAGAGAGTCTTAGATTTAAGAAGAAGATTAACCAATCTTGAGAATTAACATTTTAAATTATAGTATTTGTTGTAAATAACGTGCTTAAAATGTCTTGTAGAAAGAACGAATGCCGCTATTCCAATTCCCATGTAAAACTGTACCGGAATCTTTTCATTATTAGAATTTTAAGGATTTTTTTACAAGATGTATCTTTAAAGCTCCTAAGACATGAACACAAAAATAGGATGTACGAGTTAATTCCCTTGGATAAAACTCTCAAATAAAAAAAGATAGTAAAAATTATATTGCAGGCAGCATTAAACGAAGGTGGAAGAAATAAGAAAATCATTTTTTTTTTTGAGGCGGTAAAAAAAATAATAAAGTATGTCAAGACCGGGACGTGGAAGAAATATTCGGAGGCCCTTTGGTGCCAACCCTAGTAGTGCATTTCACGAGGAAACTGATGATATTCAGGTCCATCCAACCCTTTTGAAAAATGCTCGTAGCAGCGGACACTTAAATATCTCTGGACGAAATTTGACAACCGGTAAGTAAAGTAGACAAAAAAATGAGTCATAAAGAATCTAGTGACTAGATTCCATTCTAGCTAAAAAAAACAAGAAAATAAAGAAAAATATTTATAAAATCGTCTACAAACTTTAATGAAAAACGCTGATATTTTTTTACCGAAAAATAGAATTTGAAAGGTTATTTTGAGCGAGGAGGGGGTGTGGTTTTACTTTTTGTAAAATTGTTTACTAATCGACTTCACTAAGAATCTAAGATTAATTATTTTTTTTAAAAAGGCTTCGATGAAATTAGTGTACATTTGTTCTTATTTTGAATTTTTTTTAAAATTTACACACATTGACAAGTATTTTTTTTAACCGTGGCATGTAAAAAAAAAAAAAAATCAGTGTTTATTTACTGATTATGCAAAAAAAAATGGTTTATTGAAGCACAGCAATTATTAACTTAGCAATATTAAAGAGAAATTGTAAAAATATATATATATGATTTACTTTCTATTAAAAACTAGTTTTTGCTGAGAAAAGCAATAGTTAGGGAAAAAATAGTTCTCTTACTGAGAAGACACTTGCTTAATCCGATTGTTGCCTTCCTATTATTAGTCTTTCTTTATGTAACACAAATCAAAATGACTCATGTCTTTTTATCTGTCATCCATTTGGAATCGCACAAGAAAAGACTCTTTCATTTATACGCAATTGTATTTTTCCCATATTTAATTCAACATCTGAAACTCCGTATATAAATAGTAAACGTGTGTTATGAAAAGATTAAACATACTTTTTAAAATAAAACAAAATAAATGTGCGTCATTAGTTCTACGGGAAACAACTCTGGGAGAAAAAACGTACAAAATCCACTGTTTGGAAAAATTAAAATAATAAAAAATAAATGCGATTGAAAATCTAATATTTCGTGTCGGTTCCATGCTATGTCGATTACTTTTATAAAATTGTAGGAAATTAGTACTTGAAAAGAATACTGAAAAAATGTAATTAAGATTACAATCTGACAATTATTTGCTAAACTGTTACAGTTGAGTAAAAAAAATTGAGAAATAGCTGTCAGAAGTTCTCTTTTTTTTTTTTTTTTTTTTACTTATTCATTTTAGGAATGTTAATTTGCGTGGAAATATCCAAATTTTTAGGGGTAAAAATGTTCTTAACGTATATAAAATAGAAATTTATTGGCTAATTTGCAGTGTAGGACCCGCGCTAAGTTTCTATTAAAAATTACCCAAATTGTTACATTTACCGTTACGTGTGTACTACACGCTTAATTCGAAAATAACGACAAAAATTTAATAAAATCTAACGTTTTGCAGGTATCGACACTAAAATTTCTGACCCATCCGCGTCGCGGCTACAGCAAGGCAGACATTATTAGCGTTGTTTACATACATTTGCTGCTGAATAGTCATGCGGGGATGCTTCATTTGTCTTGATTATTGCGCACGCAATGCGCAAACTTTGCGCGAAATTTAAATCGAGCATGATTATTTATAAAATAAAAGAAATGCTAGGAAAGTAATTAATAATAACTTTTTTTTATTTCCAAATTAAATTTTTAAATAAAAAAAAAGATTTTAAAAGGGCATGATTATTTACAAGATACAAAAAAAAATGCTAGAAAACGAATTAATAATAACAATTTTTTTTCTTGTGCAGAACACTTGCGCAGTAATTGAGACGAGTATGATCAGTAAAAAAAAAAGGCCATTAACTAAATAAGCTTCCACACATGGTTATTTAGCAGCAAATGTGTGCAAACAATGCCAGTAATGGCTGCCATGCTGTATCCGTGAATGAGTCCAAATTTTTAGTGTCAATAACTCCAAAATAGTAGATTTTATCAAATTTTTGTCATTTATTTTCGAATTAAGCATGTATTGTAAATTTACACATAAATGTAACAGTTTGGGAAATTTTTAATAGCAACTGAGCAAGGGTCCTACATTGCAAATTAGCCAATTTAAAACTCCTCAAATCTTCAAAGTTACACAATGCATGAGTGTATTTCAAAAATACACACATCATGCCAATTTTCACAAATTTGTTAATGTTTGTTTCTATTGTTCGAAGGCATGTAACTGTTTAAAGTATCTTTAATGGAAATTTTGTGTTTTATCAAGAAATATTAGTTAAAAATTCAAAATGTGTGTTAAGATTTTTTTCTTTTCACGATATAACATAAATTTGCAGCTGGCAAAGATAAAAAAACAAATAAAATTCTTAAGTTGAATTAAACAGCTATGAGGTCAAATGTTCCTTTAAATCAGCAAAAATTACAATGGCCACAATCTGATTGACAGAAAACTTGATATTGTAAATAAATAAAAATCTATTAAAATTTGTTCATTTTTAATAGATTTTTATTTTTTAATTAAAAAAAAAGCAAATAATCATAACAGCAAGAAAATTTTATGGGAAATAGTTACTTAAATTGTTTCTCAGTTTAACAATGCAAAAAAATTCTAAATTTCCTGTCGATTTAAAATTTTGGAATGCAGCAAAGTGTTTTGCTTATTGGAAATTTTAATCTATTAGCTTGAAATTAAAAATAAAATAAAAGCTTCAAGAAAGATTTTTCATTTTTCAAAATTCATTTTAAACCTTACATATCGCAAATCATTGGCAGTACCTACTTATATACAAATGAAATATTGGTGCAATCAAAAAGTTTTACATTGAAGACAAGGGCAAAATATTTCAATGGTTTTTAGGCAGACATGGGGAATCAAAGCGCTATATATTATTAGTTAGTTTAATCTAAATAAAAAAATCATTATTTAAATACTACATCATATTTTGAAATTGTGTTGTCCTAATCATCTTCACCTGTAAAATAAAGCATTTTATAATTCTGTTTCTTTCTTCATCTTGCTAGCCACCAATAAGGCCATCCATAAGGTGGTGAGAGAATTCAAACAATGCCATCCAGTTTGTATGATATGAGAAAATTTCAAGTTGCAATGAGAAAAGATTTTCAGTTGCTATCACTCGCTACCACAAAGATGTGTATCTGTTGAATGGAGACCTGTACAAACAGCTATATGATGGGAGAGTAAGACAGGATGTTACCTTTGATAAAATCAGTTCAAAGCACTATTTCCACAACCAAACCTCGGTGAATCAACGGAATCCTCATAAGATAGTAACTGCTCACTTTTAATAGTAGCCAATTAACAAATTTCAGAGATGAGCCTAATACACTTAGTAAAAGGTTTACAACTATATTTAGTGATAATCTTATGTATTTAAAAGCATATAAAATGCACCTTTTTCCATTCCTCAAAAATAGCTTACAGAAAGAAGAAAAAAAATGTTAAGGCTTCTTGTAGGCTAATTTTATCCCCAACTCTCACTCAGATCCCTATTCCCAAGATAGGACATGATTTCCAGAATCCTCCAACAGCATTAGCTAGGCCTTCTACACCCTAGTAAGAATATTTGCCCTGTTTTGTTTGGGAATACAAATCTCTCAAGAGCACATCAACTTGACAGTGGTACCATATGATCGCTGAAGTTATTCCACCTGCATTTTCCACCTCAACATCTACCTGAAGAATGACATTCATCATTATACTGTTTTTATCATGCTGCATGGCCACCTTTCTCTCATGGGGGCGGTCATCCCATTTCACCTTTTCTATAATATCTGACTCTGTTCTTTCATCTGTCATTTGTCATCGCAGCCAATCTGCCTGCCTCTTGATATAACTACATGTGATTTGGATCCAACTGGCAATGGGATAATGCCAAACTAATATTCTACACATTGAAAATATTTGCTAACTTAACTCATCACTCATCTGAATTTGTGACCCTTCCCACTATTTCTTGCTGTTATCTTTAGTGTAGAACTAGCAGCATGGCCCAGTGTTGCCCGTGCTTGATTCAAAAATCATATGACTTGTACAGTAATCGCTATCACTTGACTTAAAATATTTTTGCCCTTCCTTGCCTTTAAAGGAGTGCCTTTTGCCATGCTGATGTTGCTACATGCCTTACTTCTTGCCTATCTCACACTGTGAATTTTTTCTAAGCTCTATACTAAACATTAAATCTGTTACAAAAAAAAAAGAACTAAACAAAATGAACACAAAACGATCAGCTTTAAAAAGTACTTGTAACTGGAAAACCGAATGAAAAAAAGAATGTTAACAACAAATTCTTTTTTTCACACCCAACCCAATTCTCTTGGAATCAGAATCAACGTTGAGTTTAAGCAAGTTTAATGAGCCAATTGGAGTAAAGTGCCATGCAGATTTAAATTTTTCCCACTTGTGACAAATGCAGCTATTGATTTTTTTTGCATGCTAGCATGCTAGTTAACATTCGTGTCAGTCAGCTGTTGGCTCTCACACTGGCCAATAGAATCTTCCTGCCTATTCGTGGCAGCCAGCTATTGGCTCTCAATCTGGCCAGTACAAAATGGCCGCAAACTACATGAAAAATGCCATAGAAACATGAAAAAATGGATTATTTCCACTATCGATGGGAGTTGGGAAATGCAAAGTCAGTCTTGGCCTTCCCGCTAACTTGGAGCATGTGCATGTAAATTTTGGTGCAAATCCGTCGAAAGTTGCATTTGTTACACACACACACACACACACACACACACAAAAACATTCTGCCTTTTATAGATAGAGATTATGTTCAAATACCACTATGATCAGACAGGATGTTTTACTTGTATAGTTTACTAGCTGGTACTTACATAATGTTTAACCATAATTTAATTGGAGCTGTCAATAGATTGATTTATTGTACCTGTCTTCATTAGCTGTCTCCGTGTTTAAATAGTTTCCCTGAATATATCTATTATTATGTCTCTGCCCATGTGACATATCATGTAATGGTTCCGTTTTTTGAAATCCAACACTGCTCTGACCGTATTATTTTGCTGACTGAACAATTGCCATCAAAGGCAATACACTAATTTTCATTTTTTTTTCTCTCTCTCCTTGCTACTAGAATGCCTTCCTTTAGCCATATCATTCTCAAACTCAACTCTCACTCTCTCTCCCACCCACTTTTAACTTATAGCAACTAACTTTATTCATCAACCACATGGTGGTGAGGTATATTTCTTTCAAAACTATTCTGCAATCCATTCTTCATCATCAAATTCTACATAAATTTTTCTGTCCTTTATTGTTAAATTTCTACTCAATATCCTCAGTCTCTTTCTTGGCAGTGTACTTTCTGCACATTGGGCCAATACAAACTGCATTCCTTTGTCAATTTTGTTAATTACATCTACCTCAATCACTCTTTCTTTGACAACATATTCCATTAGAATCCATGTTCTAGCCATGACTCATGTGCCATTAACTCCATGTCACTATATAGGAGTGTACTTCTGTTTATCACCATATTTCTGATTTTTTTACTCCACCTATCAACCAATTCCGATGTAACTAACATACTATCATAGCCAGATTCACTGGAGGAGATCTCCTCTCTCTCTCTCTCCCACCTATCATTACTTTAACTGTAAACAATGTTGTATGTTGAGACACAGTTTCTGAATAGGAGTAGCTATTGATTGAATAACTCCTTTTTTCTTCTGGTTGAATTCTTTTTTTCTATGATCCATGCTCAATTGCACCTTTTAATGAATCAATTCTAGCTTTGGATCATTGTAATCTTTAGTCTTGTGGTCCCCAGCACCTAAAGTACATCCATTAAATGTTCACCTATCTCTTGGTTCCTCACCACTAATAGCTGATTGCTTTCTGTCACTTCACCCAACAGGATGCACCATCTCAAGGCCTTTCACTTTATGAACAGTCAGCACCTTAGATCAGGTTATCACATCATTCATGTTCATAGTTTCTATATCAGGTAACTGTTGAAGAGCTACTGAAATGTGATCTAAACAAATGCCAACTTAACCAGTCTCTCCAACTCTTCTCCTATAAATCCTTCTCTGTCATTTTCCTAGTTTCATTAGTGTACATATCTACTTCTTTACCTGTTCAACTGACTCTTCTCTGTTTCCTACAAACCACAAATGTTTCTTGTATAAATGCCTCTTTTAATCTGGTCACAATTTTTCTCTATTTAGTTGGTCTTCTTCATCTTCATCCATCTCTAGTGACAATGTGTTTCTTTCCAAATATAGTAGTATGAAAGTTTTTGCCAAAATCTTTATATGATGATGATGATGATTATTAATAGTAATAGTTGTCATCATCATCATCACTCAACTGGGAGAAGCAAAAATATGTTTCCACCCACCCAAAAACTCTCTCTGGTTTACACATGTTTTTATACTCCCATCTCTCCTTCATTCAGTTATCACTTGCAGAAAGCCCAGTGTCTGCATTACATGTAGATTATTTCTCTAGTTTCTTGAAACATGGATACAGGGGAACATAAGTTGTTTTTAACCTTTTAACACTCTGCATTATTCACTTGTATTACTTTTGACCCTGCTTCCTCAACTACAGTGGCCTCATTCTAAATTTCAATTTTCACTATTGCTATAGCAGGATATGATAACACAACAAGATTCAAATTTAAAATTTGTTCAGCAAATGGAGTCACCTACAATTGTAGGACTAACATTTTGCTTTAGGAATAAATCATCTTTAGAATGCTAATGGTTAATTACATATACACAATGTATAGTTGCTCAGAAACATAAAACTTTTAGAAAGATAGAATTATGAAGTTGCCTGAAAGATAGTGGAACAAAACAGTAAATATGTTGTTCAAAAAAGTTAATATAGGACTTTTTTCTTTTCACTTTTTTTTTCTTAATAAAATAAACAAAATTTATTTGCTGCTAATTACATACACACAATGAGGTACTGAATTGTTCTCAGCCTTGGCCCACTTAGAAGAATCTGATCAAACATTAGAATTTGTAAGAGAGACTCCTTCTTGATTAACCAAGTACCTCCTTGACATCTGACCAAATGACTAAACCTTTTCGGAAGAGCTTCTTACTTAAAAGAAAAGTTATTAGCCAGATCAAGAAGCATTTCCCAAAATGTTTGTCTGTTTAGTCAGATTTTAGGAAGTAGGTTGCATAGATTACTTATCAGAACGCTCTTGTACTTATATATTTTTATAACACACATACACAAACACATATCTGTAGTTATGAGTGTTAACATTTTAATATAGTGTGTGTGCGTGATAAAGATATAAATACTGTGCACTTAAAAAAAGTTTTGTGGCAGAGATTGTTATTTGTTATTTATCCCCACCTAGTGCCAGTGACAGGTGTTTTGAGCTTTGATTAAAAAGAAAAAAGAAAAAAAGTGTTGATTTTTCAAGGCAAGCAGGTAAACCCTACTCCCTTGGTTGGAAGATTAATGTAACATAATCAGAATAAAATAAGCTTATGAAATATCAAAATATTTTTTATTTATCTGTACCACCAAAAACAAAAAAAAATTATAACATTTTCATTCATCAAATTTAAAATGTCAGAAAATTCTATTTCTGCTGTCATCAGAAGAGTTTAATACATAGAGATGGGTGAATTATCCATCTTGTTACATAGAAAAGTATTACATACAAAAATATGTATAGATGGATAAACACTGTTTTTTTTTTTTTTGTTTTGTTTTTTTTTTCATATATGTAGTCTGTTTAATTTTTACAGATGCCCCATGGTTGTGACCTTGTAGCATACTAAATTTAGTAAATATGGCTACCTACCATGATGCAATAGTTAACAAAGTGGTCCTGTGGACCAATTCACTAGTGTTATGAGTACCTTTACCATTTATTTAAACTCTGGTCAGTAAATAACTGTATGTATATAATGAAGCCAGATTAAAAGAATTGTTACTTATTTTTACTGTCTTCTTTCTTCAAGAATATTGGGTCACAACCATACTCTATCATACTACTGTAGTTTCAGTAACAGTAAGTGAAATTTATGAGCTCGGAGTGCTAGTCCAAACACATGACATTCAAGTTAGACTGACTTACTGAGTTAAAAATCTCTAACAGCTATACTATTACTCTTAGCTTATGGGAAGGAGTGGAGTTATGCCTTTTCCCAGGAATATTAGAGTGAAGTAAATGCAAACAGTCCCAGATGGAATTTGAACTTGGTTTGCAGATTCCATTGTGCATACTGTTAACTATTAGGCAGATCTGAACTAATGAAATATTAGTCCAGCTTTATGCTTTTAGTAGGAAATAATTTGTTTATTGATTTACTAAAATGATTTTTTTTTTTTTAATTTATGTTGCACAGTTCCAAAGTCTGTATTGAATATCAATATCGAGCAATGCCCTGATGCCAGAAATTTTACTCTTGATGGCAATAATGAACGCTGGTGGGATCAAACAGATTTGACCAAGCTCATCATGGCCAACAATTGTATGAAAACTTTGCCCGATGATATCCGTCTTCTACATGCATTGCAAGTGCTTGATGTAAGGTTTTTTTTTTTTATATTTTCTTGCTATTTTTCTAAAGTATTTTTGGATGAATTAAAGATGGCTTTTTATATTTCCTTTTTTAACATTTGTAATATATATTGTTTCAAATTTTTGAACATGTGTAAATTCATTCATGTTGTCATTACTTCAAATACTGTCATTTTCATTTGTTTAAATCTATCCTACTTATGAAGGAGTTTGACATTCTACTTTTTTAAATGGTTTGATTTTTTTTCAAAATTATTTTGTAAATCTTAAAAATTTGCTACAGGATTTTTTCTTTGTCTTTTTGTCTAGATTCATGACAATAGCTTGGAAAGGCTGCCAGATACAATTGGAATGTTACTTGACTTACAAAAACTAGAACTTAGGTAAATAACTTTTTATGCTATGTCAGATTTAACATGTGTACAATTATTTCTAATATATTGATGTTTTTCATAAAATAAGTAATTGGATGTTTTTTTTTTTTTCCTTTTTTAACAATCTCCAAACACTACTACAATGAATTGCTTAAAAAACATTTACCATGTTCAAAAGATGCAGTTGGTGCTAAAATACAATAATTACTATGAATTTTCTTTCTATTGCCAGAAATTGGCATGCGGATGATATGTAACTGTAAAAGGGAATATTCTCTTTATCTGTTCTTATGTTAGATGTATGATGGAAATTTTATCTATGACTTCTTTCTTATGCTTTTAATATTTGCTCTGTCACTATATATGAAAAATGGGAATAAAAATTTTGATATATTTAATAATTCCTACCTCTGATATCATAGTTGATGTGGAAAAGTTCTTAACCTGACTAAGTAACCCTTCCCCTACAAAAAAAATTTGATGTTTGTTCAGATTTTGGGAATTTGGTTAGGCTAAGAACTTTTCAGTAATCTCTCAGTATAAACACAACTAGTTACTGTTATAAAGTTTGTAAATATTTATATTATTGATTTTTAATTTTCTCAGCCGGAATCAATTGACCACTTTACCGAGTTCAATAAAGGAATTAACCAACTTGACTGTCCTTCGTCTTGACATAAACAAGATATCTAATCTTCCTGATGAAATTGGAGATTTAGTCAATTTGGAAGATTTGGTAAGTTTAAGTAAGTCCCTGCCTGGAAAAACATTAGCGTGTTTAATTGTTATCGAAATGAAGTGTTTTTCTATTCTTTTCTCTAACTGATATTGTACAGTTTATAATAAATGTTTAGCTTTGTCTTTTTATAAGGGATGATGTTTTTTTTTAGATGAAGCATGACTCGCATTTGAGTTTAATCAAATCTTTTCTCTCCATTGCTGTTATTTACAATTCATTTTAGAAGTCATTTTCAAGTGTTACAATGTCTTAGGCTTTATCACTTGTGTTTTTGCCATATTATGTGACAATATATGTCAATAATGGAAATAGTAATAATACTATTTCTCTCTCTCTCTCTCACACACAATAATATGGGGGTACAGTGAAGTAATGAGAGCAGAGTTTAAATTCCAGTTGAGTTCATTGCATTCACTTGTGCAAATACCCTTGGAAAAGGTATGAATCCATCTCTTCATGGTCTGGGTAAATAGCAGGACAGATTGGGTTCTGCAGCCTTGGGGGTGGCAACTGGACTAGGAGAACAACAAATCTGAATTCAAAACATGAGGGGGACCGTTTGTGAACCTTGTGGCATGTACTGCACCAGCTCTCTGCATTCAGCTCTTCCAAAAAGTGTGCTTGGTTCTGCACAAAATGTCTTCACAATAATGAAATCGTATATGTGAGTAATCTGGCTGTTCAGTTCTAAGAACTGAGCTGCTGGACCTTCATATGTCAAAAAATGATAAGAGAGTCTTTATATATATTATTTTATATGCACAATACTTAGTGGAAAGGGCTCAATATCCGTGATAAAGCTAACATATTCAGTTGTATGGATATGAGTTTGTGACCCTGGATTTTACACTTTTGTGATCATCAAACACAAACAACCATAAATAGATCCAATTTTAAAAAAATAAAGCAGTTTGATGATCGCAAAAGCATGAAACCCAGGGCAAAAAACTCATATCCATACAACTGAAATATATATATGTGAATTACAATTAATGAGATCCAAACAATTTACCTCATACAGATGATCATTTCATCTGTGAGAAAGTAGTTTTTCTCTGGACTTCTCAATGCAAATACATTTACTAAATACATTCACTTATATGGTCTATAATAAAAACTATATTGAGCTCTCTTTTGTGGATCAGTTTTATTATTTTATATTAATAAGATCTACTTGAATTACTTACCCACAGATTTTTTTTACCTGTGTATATATATATATATATATATATATATATATATATATATATATATATATGCACTTGGCCAAGTAGTTAAGATCATTAGCGTTCTGACCCTGAGACCTAGGTTCAAACCTCACTATTGTCAATTTGTCAAAGAAGTAAATTTTTGATAATATGGACTCAGGGTAGATTATCTCTCTGTGACATCATTGGGGAGTGCCTGAAAAACATAACACAGGTTGATCCAAGCCTTGTGAATGAAATTGGGTTATGGATGAAACTGCTTAGAAGTTGTCAATGGTTGTGCTAGCATGAAGTTAGAAGTCATCATGACTGAAGTTACATGTATACTGTCCCTTTTCAACGTCTGATTATGCTAGCTTATGCAACCTCTCCCAGAAACTGTAACTAAGGTCCATTCAGCATAGTTTCAGTATAAACTACAGGTTGGCTCTGGTACATGTTGAACAAACACAAATGTACCTGAGTAGGCGTCTGCAACAGGGATTAGCTAGCCAGCCTAGCAGATAAGTATACTTGGAAATGAGCAGCAAGCTAATATTATGATGATATTAGTAATAATAATCCTGATATTTTGTAGTAACTAATTCAAAAAATATTCTTTGACATTGTGCTTTTTTTTTTTTTTTTTAAAAACACAATTTATACGAACACAAACATTAACCTAAAGTTAATAGTTTCCTTGGTTACTTTTTCTGCTTTTAGTATTCTAATTTAGCTTATGGCCATAGCATGCTGAAGCAAAAGTTCTCATATGATCACTGAGGTTAAGCAACATCAAGCCTGGTCAGTGCCTGGATGGGTGACTGCTTGGGAATACCTGGTGCCATAAGCTTGGACATGCAGATGGTGTAATGGATAATTGTTTGGAACTGGAAATCTCTGAGTTAAGTTCCAATTCCAATTGGGTTTGTTATATTCATTTATGCACAAATATTCTTGGGCAAGGTATGAATCCAGTTCTTCTTGCCCTCAGATATGGGTTAATTAGTCGGACTTGTATCAGTAAATCCTTATTATCTCCGCAAAAAATTGTTGCAATCTAAACATATTTTTGGCTTTAAATAACCTGCAAAAGATTGATAAACTGGAAAAATCAAATCAATCAATCATAATTACTAATTTACTCATACCAAATCTGACAATATTGTAGCAATTTTGCAGTTGCATTGGTTATGTTTTTTTTGCATGAGTAATCTAGGATTTCTATCTATACAAAGGAATTCTGAAAAGTTCTTGATCCTATCCAAATGACCAAACCTCAGAATCTGTGTGGGAATCCCTCGTTGATAGGGTTGATAATTTTGCTCTTATTAATTAACTCTCACATGGAAAACAGAATTCTGTTTTTTTAAATTATTAAAAGTAAAACTATTATATATCCATCATAAACTAATTTAAAAAAAAAATCAATGCAACTTGATCTCCTCTACTTACAAATAAGATATTCTGTTGTTATGATTGCACTAATTGGCATGGTGTAGTGCCTTCTGCTAATATAACAGAATATTTCATTACTAATAAGAGATCAGGTTGTGTAAAAGATAAATATATAAAGTCATGTTGTGTCTAATATTATTACAATAGACATGTTTATAATTACTTTCACTAGTCAGAGGGAAATGTTTAAAACTTAATTATTATGTAGTTAATATTAAATCTCCATATATCTCTACTTATAAAAATTAATGGAATATTACCTAATATTATTTTTGTGAATTATTTTAATGAATTTGTCACAAATCTACAAATGCTGGGATGAAAAATACTACATAATCAATAAAACAGCTCTGATTGTGAAGAACAATAAAATTGTAGACAGCTAAAGGTCTTGATATTTTATGAACCAACATTTAACCTTTTGTGTCTTCTGTATTCTTACTGTTATATGTAAATATCATTTACTTTTAATTTCAGGATGTGTCTAAAAATTGCCTTGTAACTTTGCCACCAACTTTTGGCAATTTGACGAAATTGAGAAATCTAAATCTTTCTTCAAATCAATTAACAACTCTTCCTCCTGAAGTAGGAAAAATGGCTCGTATGTATATATACTAATACTATTTTGTGTGTGTGTATAGAGAGTGTATCAAAAATACTTTTACAAACTTTGGGAATGGATTCCTCACACCAAAACAAGGACAAAAATCCATATAGATATGTTGGTAAATCCTTTGTTTTTGAGTTATTAGATTTAAAGAAAGTTTACAGTATATGATACTGTGTTGGCATGTAGATTAGGTTACATTTGTCATTCATGTACATTTGTGGCTAGTCTGTCTTCAACATTTAACATGTGTACTAGTGAGTTAACTGAAAAGTGTTCCATTTAACAATGGCATATCGTGAGCAGGCAGATATGATGATTTTTATATATGGCCACATGAATGATAATGGGCATGGGGCTGCATCAGATTGTGTTTCCTGACCAAAGGTAGCTGAGTCATCCAATCTTTGCTGCTGTTTATTGTTGTGTTGCTGAGACGGGATCCACAGCACCATAAACTATAGATCGAGGGAGACTAAGATCTGCTCATACACCTGACCATGAAGGACACATTCTACGGGCTGTCGGATATGATCCATGTATCAGCACATGTCAAGTGACCCTAGCATATCGTACATCTCATAGTACTGCATGAAAGGGTACTTCAAGAGCAGCTCCTGCATCTGTATCATTTTCAGTGTGTGCAGGGTCTTTTGCCAATCTGATCACTCACCACAGGAGAATTTTTGCTGATGGTTTATTGCACAAACTGCTGATATGTTGTTTGTCCCTTCACTCTTGTTTACAGATAAGGCAACATTTGAAAGAGATAGAATAACAAATTTACACAACCAACATTTGTGGGTGGATTGGAATCCCCATAGTATAATACAGGCTAGACACCAGCATCAGTTTATGTGGGCTGGAATTGTAGGTGACTGGTAGGTTCATATATTCTCTCAGCATGTCTTACAGGAGCGGTCTACAGGGACTTTATTTTGAATATGCTTCCAGACCTGCTAGAGGATGTACTCCTGCTAATACAAAGACGCATGTAGTTCATACATGATGGGGCTCCAGCACATTTTAGTCACACTGTTCACAATTCACTGGCTGACATCTACCATAAAAGTTGGATAGGTAGGGGAGGACCAGTTCCATGGCCTACACGTTCCACCAACCTCAATCCTTTGGATTTTTATCTGTATTGGTTTAAGCAGCAGACACTAATAATGAAGAGATACTTCATCAACATGTCATGGGAGCCTGCGAAACCATTTAACACTATGTGGAAGTATTTGAAAGAATCCGACAGGGGCATGCATGTGTAGAAGCAAGTGGTGGACATTTCAAACATTTGTTATGAGTTGCTGTGTTGAGGTACAACGATGACCTTTTGTCCATATGTTTATATGACATTTTTACCTTGTTTTGGTGTCAGGAACGAGCCCCTAAAGTTTGTAAAAGTATTTTTGGATTGTACATTTAACAGTATTTACTGTAAACTTTAAACTCAATAACTCAAAAATGAAGGATTTGTGGGCATATGTTGAAATGGACTTTTGTTTTTGTTTTGCTGTGAGGAACCCACCCCAAAAGTTTATAAAAATATATTTTTTTGGTACACCCTCTATGTGTGTATGTGTGTGTGTGTGTGTATATATATATATATATATATATAAAGTGAACATTGATGTCAGGAGGCGACAGGCTGTTTCATGCTAGATGCAATCGTCAGGCCATATATATATATATATATATATAGTGTGTGTGTATTTTTAACCCATTATAGATGACATGTAAAAGAAGACTGCAGGAACACCATAAAGCTGCACTGCAAGGGGACATAGAAAAAAAATCAGGCGTGGCTGACCACATATCAAAGGAAAAGGAAGATCACTGCCTCCTGTGGGATGTCTTTAAAATAATAACCAGAGAACGTCACTGAAAAATATTAAAACTTAGGGTATCAGCACATATGCTAGGCAACAAAAATCTCCTAAGCTAGCTAAGCATAGAAATGAATACAATATGGGAACCAGTAATACGAAGTACTAGAGAAAAGCAATAACACCACCAAATTGTATTATGACCTCTGGTAAAAAATGGTTACTAAGACATTAGGTTTATAAGTCCCAAAAAGTCATACAGGACACATGGCCCAGTTGTTAAAAGCATTGGTTGTATCCAGTGATTTAACCCAACAAGTTGTGTTCAATCACAAAACTTGCTACAAAAAAGTTGAGTTAAAAGGGAAATAACTACTACTGATCTTGCAGGTATTCAAACCCTTAATTTTCAATTTCTCAATCCCTCGCACAGAAAATTGACTTTCCCACATGTTTTCCCTACAACCAGGACGATAAAGCTTCTCTTCTCAATCTATGTTTTACCTCCATCCCTGAGTCCTGTAGCGCCACAAAGCTCTGCCCTCTTGGCAACTCCAATCATGCTGTAGTGTCTGTCAACATCTCCTTCAACTCCACCCCCTGCAAAGAACCTCCTACCACTAGAACCTCGTTCTGCTATCAATGAGCAGACTGGAACTCATTCTGGGATTTCCTTCACGATGTCCCCTGGGATGTTGTCTTTATGCACCCCGTTCAAGATGGGCTTCTGAGGTCTCCCCCTGGGTTAAAGCTGGAATCAAGGCTTTCATCCCCTCAAGGAAATATAAGGCCAAATCGCGCTTCTCCCCTTGGTACTCCGCTGATTGCTCAGTTGCCATTGCCCATAGGAATCACTTCTTTCACCTCTATCATAGCGACATGTCTGACTGCAATAGACATCTCTTTGTCTCTGTCCGTAACAAGTGTAAGCGTGTCCTCAATGAAGCAAACTCACTATTTGCTACTTGAATGAAAGAACGTATTGCATCTCGCAAATTCAGCTTCAAGGATTATTGGCATCTCTGCAAGAGCGTACTTAACAATAGCAAACCCTCTATACCTCCTTTGTTCAACCAGTTCGAGGTTCTGACCTCTACTGCCAACAAGGCTGAATGCTTTGCTCAGAAATTCCCATTCAATTCAACGCTCGACTCTTCCGGTGTACCCACACCTGATTTCCCCCTTAGAACTGAGGCTCTATTGAGTGAGTCGCACATAACCCCGCCATCAGTATTGGGCATTATCTCTAATTTAGACCCCCCACAAGGCTAGTGGTGGAGATGGGATACCAGCCATTGTCCTGAAGAAATGTGTGCCTGAACTTGCCCCTGCCCTCTCCAAATTATATAACTACTGCCTCAATGAATCTTGTTTTCCAGACTGTTGGAAGTCCTCATCCATTGTTCCTGTCTTTAAGAACTCTGGAGACCCTTCTAATTACCGTCCTATTAGTCTCCTACTTCTCTTCAGCAAAGTCTTGGAAGCTTTAATCAACACCAAAGTGGTTAAACACCTTACATCCCATGATCTGCTCTCTGACAAGCAATATGGTTTCCGCTTTGTCCATTCTACAGCTGATGTGCTTACGGCTGTAACTGAAATTGTTTACCAAGCTCTTCATAATAACATAGAAGCTCATGTCATGGCTCTTGATATCTCCAAAGCGTTTGGTAGGGTTTGGCATGCCAGCCTTTTTTGCAAGCTTCGGGGTTATGGAATTTCAGGTCAATTGTTTGACTTAATACAATCATTCCTGTCAAACCATGAATTGAAGGTCGTTCTCAATGGATTCTCTTCCAGCTCCTATCCCACAAACGTGTTCCCCAAGGCTCCATCCTAGGCCCTACTCTTTTCCTTATTATCATCAATGATCTTCCTGACATCATAAGTTCCCAAGTAGGCATCTATGCGGACAACACTACTATTTACTCCTGCCTCAAAAACAAATCAAATCTAGTGTCGCTGACAAAACTAACCTGGCCATTCATCTTAAAAAGTACCTCCAATTGGTTGTGAACTGGGGCAGGAATTGGCTGGTTAACTTTAATGCCTCAAAAACAAAACTGCTCTCTATTACTCACCACAGAGAACCATTCTTTCCCCCCATTAGAATGTCTGACACTCAACTTCCCGAGAGCACCTCTTTGCAATTACTCGGTCTCACATTGACTGCTGACCTGAGATGGAACAAATACATTGAGTCAATAGCTTCATCCACTGCAAGGAAAGTTGGCTCCCTGTGCCATGCCAGGAAATTTTTCTCGCCAAAGTTGATCCTTCAAATCTAAAAATCAACCATTCATCCTTGCATGGATTATTGCTGCCATATATGGTCCGGTGCCCCTTATGTTTGTCTCAAGGTTCTTGATAAGATCCAGAGACGGATATGCAATGTAATCGGCCCTGATCTGGCATCTCATCTGCAGTCGCTCTCTCACAGATGTACCATCGCCTCCCACTGTCTTTTTTACAAATACTTTCATGGTAACTGCTTCGATGAGCTGCTTTCGCTGGTTCCCAGACTTCATGAATTTAAGTGTTCTACTAGGCCAGCATCTGGCTCTCACCCTTTCACTGTTGAAACTGTTAAATGTAGCCGTCTCTTCTACTCCAATAGCTTCATGTCTCCCTCCCCTTTCCTGTTTCCCTGATAGCTATAATTTCCAACTATTCAAATGTAATGTCAATCAACGTCTCCTGATGCCTTGATCTATCCCCTATCCTTCTCTTCATCCTTCCTCTATCACTCCTATCTGCTCTCACTCCAACTCTCTGTAACTCCTTGTGTGCTAGTGGCTTCCCGCCTTGCTTGGTGTGAAACGCTTAAAAAAAAAAAAATACCTGGGAGAGGTATGGCACGTGGAACGAGAACAGTCTACACCGGTGGATGAAATAAAGGGTTCAGTTTGAAATTCAAATCACCTGAAGAAGGCCGGAGTGTACAATGATCAAAACATTGTGAATATAGTAACAGAGATGAGGACAACAGTCCAAACAATATAAGAATGTATGATTTAATTTTTCCATGTGGGGAATGATTTACCTACTGCTATTAGTATAGGTTCTTGCTTTGGCCCTATCCTTTCTTTATATTAATCATCTGCCTATGAACATTCTCAGATCAGTAGTAAATTTTGTAAAATTCATCAGTTTGATGCTTTGACA